CGGACAAGTAAAATGGGACGCTGCGCAACTTCTGTGGATTGTCCCGCCTGTTCAAATCGTTGACGAGGTCGTAGTTCTTGATCCAGTCTTCGACATCATCGCCTCGGAGACCGGAAAACACAGGTGGATCACGCAGGCGAATGTTGTTGGGCGGAGTGAGTGGCGGTGGCTGCAGTAGGATGGCGGCGTTGGATGGGCGAGGGTTTTCTTGGGCTGCCATGGCAGGGGGTTGTATGCGACGACCCGAGTGGAGCTCCAGCGAGGACGGGCGAGAGGACTTGAGGGAACGAAAAGCACCGTCCAGCACTTGTGAGGAACCGGTTTATTCAGCCAAGCTCGAGCTAAATCCCGCTAGTGAGGATATTTACAGATGAAGAAGATGTACAGGTGATGATGATATCAAAGAGAATAAAGAGTCATTCGCTTGTCGCGCTCATAATACATAGTTTTTTATTGCAGTGTTTACCAGCTGACAACCAAAATTACACACTTTCACATTTTTTTTCATCCAAAAATAATTTGTTGTCCTACAGCAGATAATGTTTGGAAAGAAAATGTCATTGTCAAAATTTGGTATGCTGCAATGCGTGCTGCAGTACTTTTCAGACTGGCAAAAACGATCTTCCCGTGACAAATAAAAAATACCATTTTCGCGCGGTAAAGGGAGAGTTAAACACTTTGTAGTGCAGACGCACACACACAAAAATTGGCAGATCCCACGTACAGAGGGAATCAGTGGTGTGCGAAGCACGAATAAGGATTGATTGATTCATATTTGGGTTAATCTAAAACCACCATATGATTATGAAAGACGCTGCAACGGAAAGTTCCGGAAATTGCGAGAATGAGAAAGATTCTCACTTTAAAATCAGTAGAACCATAAGAGGTGGTCTTAAATTGTGCTATTATGGGTTACGTTTCATGATTATCATGTTTGGACGTGTCATTTACTTTTGTCGTCTACTCTCGTCTCTTCATTGGTAAATTTCATATATGCGAAGCTAACGAAACGGCCGCGAACACGCTATTAGCGTAGCATGTAGTCATGTTTTTTCATGACACGCATATTATAATTATCATGTTTGGACGTGTCATTTATCTTCGTCATCCATTCACGTCCCGTAATACAGAATTTGGTATATGTGGTGCTAGCGAAACGGCTGCGAGCGCACCATGAGCGTAGCATGTAGCCATGCTTTACCTGACGCGCAAGTAACGATTATTATGTTTGGACGTGTCATTAATCTTCGTCACGTTACGTAATATCACATTTGGCATATGTGAAGCTAGTGAAACGGCCGCGTCCACACTATAAGCGTGGTATGTAGTGATGTTTTACATGACAGGCATGTCATGATTATCATGTTTGGACGTGTGATTTCCCTTCGTCGTTCGTTGGCGTCCCGTAAGAAAAAAATGGTGTATGTAAAGGTAGCGAAATGGCCACGAGCGCCTCATGAGCATGGCTTGTCGTCATGTTCTTACTTGACACGCATCTCATGATTACCATATGTTTGCACCAGTCATATACCTTCGTCATCAATAGACGTCCCGTAATACCAGATTTGGTATTTGTGAAGCTAGCAAAACTACCGCGAGCACACCATCAGCGTGGCGTGTAGTCACGACTTACATGACATGAATGTCATGATTAACACGTTAGGGTCTGTCAGGTATGTTCACCATGCATTTATGTCATACCATAACAGTTTTGCAAAATGTGATGCGAAAGAAACCACTGCAAGAGCAGCAAGACCGCCAAGTGCAATGCACGACATTCATGACATACATGTCTTGATTTTCATGTTATGACACGTCAATTATGTTATGACACGTCAATTATGCAATCATGCTGTTTATATATGGGGTTTAACGTCCCAAACTACCATATGAATATGAGAGACGCTGTAGTAGAGGGCTCTGGAAATTTCGTCTACCTGGGGTTCTTTAACGTGCACCCAAATCTGAGCACACGGGCCTACCGCATTTTCGCCTTGATCAAAAATGCAGCCGCCGCAGCCGGGATTCGATCCCGCGACCTGCGGGTCAGCAGCCGAGTACTTTAGCCACCCACTAGACCACCACGGCGGGGCCATGTTATGTCATACCAATTTTGGTGTCGATACAATTATCGAGACAACCAGGAGAGCTAAAGTTCGTAGGCGGAGAGATAGATAGATAGATAGATAGATAGATAGATAGATAGATAGATAGATAGATAGATAGATAGATAGATAGATAGATAGATAGATAGATAGATAGATAGATAGATAGATAGATAGATAGATAGATAGATAGACAGACAGACAGACAGACAGACAGACAGATAGATAGATAGATAGATAGATAGATAGATAGATAGATAGATAGATAGATAGATAGATAGATAGATAGATAGATAGATAGATAGATAGATAGATAGATAGATAGATAGATAGATAGATAGATAGATAGATAGATAGATAGATAGATAGATAGATAGATGGATGGATGGATGGATGGATGGATGGATGGATGGATGGATGGATGGACGGACGGACGGACGGACGGACGGACGGACGGACGGACGGACGGACGGACGGACGGACGGACGGACGGACGGACGGACGGACGGACAGATAGATAGATAGATAGATAGATAGATAGATAGATAGATAGATAGATAGATAGATAGATAGATAGATAGATAGATAGATAGATAGATAGATAGATTACGCGAAAAGTCACCGAAGTTTGCAAAGAATTGTTTCGAATTTGAAAAAAAAGGAAGACACCAGACGAGTGTCGCCTGACGACTTTTTCTTTGTGTCTGTTTGTCCTGCGCTACAACGTGGTTGCTTACATCGCTTTAGTTTGCCCCTTAGCTGCTGTCGTTACATTAGCAGGTCAGGTGATACGATATACAGAAGAGCTCAACAATGATTCCAGGTGTGGCACGCATATAAGTATATCGAAGCTTGCGTTAGCTTTTTCGATTGGAGTTATGCGTAGCTCATCCGCAGCATACCCCTGCAGAGTTATATCGACTATAATCGCGATCAAGGCATTGAGAGAACATTCTACGCGCATAGCGAGCCCTTGTTAGGATCGTTTCATTCACTGCGGAACTTTTCGGAATTGGCCTGAAACGTAGCACACATTCAATATCCACGATGCGTTTGTTTAACGAGACAATCTTCGCAGTCAAATGGGCTAGTGCGGATGTATTTGGCTCAGTAGGCGACCATTTGCGTTCAAGGAAATCGTTCTCTTAATAGCCACGGTGCTATTTTCATGATGGTAAAGGCACACAAACAACCACACGTAGCGCTGGCCAGAACTCCTGAGAAGAACAGCAAACTTAGGCCCCGTGCTGAGCTTTGCGAAAGTGTGGCGGAGTTGCTGGGCATGGGGGGCTTCCTTGGAAACAGCGCTCGCAGGTGCGGAAGTGTACCTTTCCAAACAAACTTTTTTGGCTTGTTTAACGCGTAAGCTCTCTTGGGAAACACTGAGATGACGTGCTTTGGTTCATACGGCGCATGTAACTTGAGGCACAAGCTTTTCTGTACAAACGTGCTTGGTATTGCCACTCTGCGTGCAGAATCGTTCAAATATGTGCGCCATGCAAAGCGAAAGCATGCGTAGTGGCACGCAACTCCATGCACACTTTTCGCCATGTCGTCTCACCTCTGTTTGGAAGGTAACAACTGCTCAGTTTGCCATTCCTCAAAGAAGTTCTCGTCTGCACTACGTGTGGTTCTTTGTGTGCCTTTGCTGTCTTGCTTTTTCGCGCTGTTTTCCTACCATAAATGAGGAATACGGTGACACCTTGTGTGACGTGCTGGGCTTCGCCATTGAAATTAAAAATAGTGTGGGCTGGGACCACATCTCCAGTGAAGAAAGGAAAAAATATGGCAGCGTATCCACGGAGTGAATGATGGAAAGTGGGGCGAAGCATCCGTCCGTCCATTCGTTCTTGCTTCCGTCCGTCCGTGCATGCGGCTGTGTGGCCGCCCGTGCGTCCATCCACCCGTCCATGCGTGCGTCTGTTCGTGCGTCCGCACGTCCATCTGTGCGTCCGTACCTGCGTTCGTCCATGCGTCCGCTCCTGCGTGCGTACATGCGTCCATCCATCCGTGCAGCCATCTATGCGTCCGTCTATGCATCTGCCTGTGTGTCCGTTCGTCCACCTATTCAACACTCCAAGTACTACCATCTCGCATCTTTTCATCCTATATTCCTCATATGGAAGCACCGTCATCCAGCGGACATTCTAAGGACTGAACGAGAGGAGGCACACGCACACTTTCTTACGGCTTACGCTTCATGTTTACTTCGCACCTTTAAACCACCTCGAGTTTATGGTATATACTACTTCACTGTATTCATGGCACTGTGGCCCAACGTTCACTAAACCTTTCTAAAACCAAGGAGGTTACACCCAGCGAGTATAACGTAGCAATCCTTTCTTGTCAGATAGTGCTCAATGTACGTGCCAATGCCTGCTAATGAGGAATGAGAGACAGGAGCATTCGACTTTTAGTAACGCGCACGCCGCGAACTTTTTCATCATCATCATCATCATCATCATCATCCTGACTACGTCCACTGCAGGACAAAGGCCTCTCCCATGTTCCGCCAGTTAACCCGGTCCCCAGCAGCTGCGAAGCAACCGACCACTGCGGCGGTCAGATCTGCAACGCAGCAGAGGGTGCGAAATTTTTAGTGTTCAACAAAGCACAGGAGAAATATCCCACCGGCACCACCTTGCAGGTCAAAATGTAACATTGGTTACACACTACCACTACTACTACGACTACGAGGGACGAAAGGGCGCCGCTTTAAGAGCTTCGCCCCTAAGACTAGTTTCGAAAGCGTAAAATTGCGAAGTCAACTCGTAGGTTATTAAAAAAGAGAGGAAGCGACGTTTGGTTGTGCCTGCGTGAGATGGTAACTTTCCTACTGCCGTAACGTTTGCCGCGTCTGCAGAAAGGCATGTTTGCTTCACAGCTTATACTTACCAATGAGCAACGGTCTTAATAATGCCAAGAGACCGCAGATGCAGGTAGCGACACTGAGATTGACAGAGAGTCCCCGAAGTCCGAAGCTTCTGGTGAGGAAAATGGGCAGCAGGAAGATCCTCGAGCCGTGACTGATGCCTATGCCCAGGGTCAAGAGGAGTAGGTAAAGGTAGCTTTTAATGTAGCACATGAACTCGTAGCAGACGCCCTGGAGAACGTACGCTAAGGCCACCACAAACTCCAAGTAGACTGATCCTCTGTCGGCAATGAGACCTGTCAGCACACGGGACAGCATGTCCCCGATGCAGAAAGACGTCATGAAGAACACCGAGTCCTTTGCACCTATGCCGCAGTCATTTGAAAAGTCGATAATGGTGAGTAAAAACACACCTAGGCCGAACTGCACGAGAAATTGCGAGAGCGTCAGGTGCCAGAAGGAGATGGTGAGGAAGGTCTTTGCAACCTTCCAGAACTTGTGCCTCTTGTCGCCCTCGTCGTCATCCTGCTTCAGCTGAAAGTGGCCACCACGTGTTGGTTCCAGGGGCTTGCAGAGCGTGTACCCGGTCGGAATGGTCACCAACGGGTCGGGCGTGCGGATGAGCAGCTGGTGCGCCACCTGCCCATGATTTCCGGCGACGGGGCGCACGGGCGTCATCTCGATCTGCGTCTGGCTGTCCGCGGTGGAGATGCCGCCACCCTCGCTGAAGAAGTAGCGCACCGAGCCCGACAGGTGGCGAGAGGCCTCCAGGTGCCCCTCTTCGTCGGACGAGTCACTGTTATCCTCACTGAAGTGCGTGATCCAGCTAGCCAGACCCTTGTTGGCCACGTTGGCGCGCGTGAATATGCTCTTGCGGCGTTTAGAATAGTCCACCGGGTCGACGATCAGCCAGCTTGGGGAACGCACCAGCAAGCCGAACGCCATAGAGTTCAAGATGCTGGCGCCGAGTAGCAAAAAGCTCCAATGCAGGTCGTAGTGGCTCACCCAGTACTCGTACAGTGGCGGGAATATGACGCAGTTGAGACTGGAGATGGCCGACACAACGCCGGCCGCCGTACCGCGCCTCCGTATGAAGTGCTGGTTGATGCACACCTGTGTCATCAACACGGCCCCGCAGGTAGCTGCGCCTGCACGGAATCAACTCGCATATGCAGACGCCATCACCAGAAGACCAAACACAGGAAAAGAGCGTCACTCGCAAATTCACAGAATAGTGCCAGCAAAGCTTGGATATAGAAGGAGAATTGTGTGCCAGTGAAAGTGTGAGGCATTGCTCATGTCTAGGTTCCAACTTTGCGTTCTTCAGTGGCTCAATCGAGGCAGGGCTGTTTGCGCATGTATGGTGTAGCTAATATACTTTCTGCAGTTGTCCTTCGAATCATATCAGTGACATCTGACGCTCGTTTTTGTGCGCTTCATCTTTGTGATGGTGCGGCTTAGACGTCTAAATTTTTTCCACAAAAGATTACAACGCGAGCACAGCGGTCATTGGGCCGAATGTATAAGGTTTCTTTCTCGCTGTGAACAGCTTATAAAGCCAGATATATGGAGTTTAAGGTCTCAAAACACCATACGATTATGAGAGACACCGTAGTGAAAGGCTCCGGAAATTTCGATCTCCTGGGGCTCTTTAACGTGCACCCAAATCTGAGCCCACGGGTCTAAAGCATTTCTGCCTCCATCGAAAATGCAGCCGCCACAGCCGGGATTCGATCCCGTGACCTGCGGGCCAGCATTCAAGTACTTTAGCCACAAGAACACCGCAGTGGAGCTATAATGCCAACATTCTGCTCAAATGTGTGATATAAAATGTTCAACTTTTTGGTGTACACTTCACTGCCCCTACATGTGACATATACCTGTTGCCATTGCGTTGGCAAATAATCGAGCCTTAGCTATGACAGTTATGACAGAATTTTTTTTACATTTCGCTACCACTGCACCGTGTTGCTAAGTGGCATAATTGCTGACAAAAGCCTTCGTATTTTTTATCCAGCACGTTAGTTCTATGATGATCCATTAGACACCACACTCGGATTGCGTATACATTTTTTAGAAATAAATCTTACTGTCACTTTCGAATACAACAGCTTTCTGCACGACAGTTCATGGAGTTGCATTAGCATAAGCAGGATAATCCTGTTCAGTTATGTCAGCGAATAATTTACTAAGCATCAAAATACTACTGTAGGCGTAAAATATAGTAGCGGAGTACAATGTAATAATTTGAACCCGGCCACTTAAACAGCGCGAATGTGCGTTCATGTTTTCTCTTGTCATTATCACTAGCTGTATCTACTTAATTGGTAGCGTAAAACCTGCTCCAAATGTATAACTATTTTAGTTCCTTTACATACTTATAAATACAACTCTGCTGCAAACGGTAATATAAAAAGAAAGTAAGTTTATCGCACATGCGTTTTGTTTTGCATACTTTGATTTCTGTGATTGAAAAAATCTTGCCCGCAAATTTGACGGTTGCAGACGCTAATAAAGAAGAGCACGCTTAGACCTACATGAACTTTGTGAAATAAATGATAATAAAATTAAAGTTTACCTATAATCGCGTCTGTAGCGCAGGATTACGCAATTTCTGTCTACGTACAAACTTTGCCCTTCTTTGAGAAGTTCCACTAAATAGAAGCTGTACATCATGATTGTGTAGAGAAAAATAGCACATAAGACTCACTTGCCCCAAAAAGATCAACCATGTGCACAGATTGCGGAACACACTGAGCGTTGTGCAACTGATGATCGAAGAGAGCGGCCGGTAAGGAATAGTGTGCGGTGTTTCATGGAGTGCACACGAGTGGGAAAACCGTCAATCGTTGTGCTTTTAACAAAGTCGCTGTTCATAAAGGACAGTGGTTGCCTTCCAAAGACTGCGTCTGATAACGTTACCTTTCACTGTTAATTTGCTTTTGATAGCCGTTATTCCAAACACGTTTTTAAACCGTTATGTGGATGGGCATTAGGTGTCAAATAACGATGGGGACGAACACGTGAAGCGTGCGGTGCGATCGGCCGAGAATGAACGCGTTTATGCAAAGGCGCTCTGGGCAATAAAGTCGCCCCATTTTTCATCTTACCAACAAGGAGGCTTCCTTTGTTGTACATTGGGAAGCACTTTTATTTGCATTATGTATTATGTATTAAAGCCACCTTTTGAAGTAGTCTCTGGTACAACGTGAAGCTTACCGTTAAGACACCCTGATCAATGATGGAACGGAAAAATGATCATGAAAATAGAGCAAAGCTGTTGAAACCGGCCACAAATGCTTCGACGTGTGAAAAACAAAACTAGAATAATCATGAATGGGCCACGAAACATAGCGCTTCTGATTACTAAAAATGAAGAGAGAAATAGAGGGGACTAACTAGGGTAGTAACCTGTAATTGGGAAATGCTTTATTAAACCCATAGGGTTTCCTAAATACACACTAGAGGGAACGCTAGTGTATATGGGAGCCGCGACGCATGGCGCTTCAGCGAGCATGGAAACCATGGGTCTTACGTGGATTTGCTTTGTCTTCGTACTTTATGCTCGTTCTGGCTTCGCGTGGCTTCAAGCTGCTTTGTCACGAGACAATCGCAAATGTTCTGCAGTTGCACTTCACCACCTTAATCTGTTAGGCTTACCACTTCAAATAGAGTCAAGAAGTGAAAACGGTTTGTTCTTTCCTTCAAAACAATACCAACACAAAGCCATAAATGAAGCCACAAGTGCAACTCGCTGCCCGCAAGTACGAAGATTAGGCGACTTCATGTCATACCCGTAATTTTCGTAATCGCTGAACGACAATTACTTTCAGGATAACACTATGAATAAACCATCTAGAATAAACCATGGTGATAAACACCGTCACTGCCCATTTGAGCCTCGCTCAAGCGCTTTATCAACGATTTCCCGCAGATGGTTGGTTCAATACAAACTAGATGACACCACCGCACCATTGTTTTTTCCCCGAGTCTTATGGCAGCACTGTTCAATGTGTTTCCATCCGCGTCACGTCCTCTGCGTGCTAGAGTAAAAGCGCACTCACGGTGGCACCGGGAAAGTTGACAGGGTGACCCTTGTAGATGCTGTTTTCTTCCGTTCCGATCTTATCACCTCATCGTTCTGCGCTGTGTGCCCTGTAACTTCGCAAGCAACGCTATAATTTGTTTTCAATTTACGTCCTAAAACATCGACAGCAATGTACTCGTCAGAATTTTGCAGATTTTTTAGATAGATTTGTGGGGTTTTAACGTCCCAAGACCACCATATGATTATGAGAGACGCCGTAGTGAAGGGCTCCGGAAATTTCGCCCACCTGGGGTTCTTTAACGTGCACCCAAGTCTGAGTACACGGGCCTACAACATTTCCGCCTCCATCGGAAATGCAGCCGCCGCAGCCGGGATTTGAACCCGCGACCTGCGGGTCAGCAGCCGAGTACCTTAGCCACTAGACCACCACGGCGGGGTGTATTTTGTAGTGTTTTCAAGATTTATTTTCAAACTGACCGAGACAGGGTTTACAAGGCATGGCTAAATAAGCACCACTAACCTCACCAATGAAGATAAAACATACCTGATGCTTTGTCCGCAGCATGATATTACTCGAAGTTATAGCTTATTTATTTATTTATTTATTTATTTATTTATTTATTTATTTATTTATTTATTTATTTATTTATTTATTTATTTACTGTTGAAAAGACCGTGGGCGAGTAGAAAGCGCGAGTTAAGATCGAAGCGGGCGATCAAGTTTATATGGGTACTATCATGTTGGCTTCTAAATTCACCGGCCACAGCACTGGCACTTACGGCCATGGCCCCTTCGCTGGCGATGGCCTTCGCTAGCCTTGGGAGGGGCTGGGGTAGCTGGGACAACTGGCTGGGTGTAGGCCTGTTACGGTCACGTGATCAAGCATGGCAGCGCCCATGCGTCACTGCGGAAGATCGTCTATAGACAATTTTCCGCAGTGGCTGACGGGTGCTGCTATGTTTGATCACGACACCATAACTCACTTACTCTCAGCCAGTTGCCCCAGCCCTATAGCCAACACATTGGGCCAGCGAAGCGGCCGTGGCCGCAAGAACCAGTAGCGATGCCAGTAAACTTAGAAGCTGACATGGCGACATGGCAGCACCCATGTGTATGCTATTGCCCACTTCGATCCAAACTCGTGCTTTCTACTCCCCCATTGTCTTCACAGTAATAAATAAATGCTGAAATAAGCTATCGCTTTAAGTCATCTCACGCTGGGGACAAAAGATCGGGCATGTTCTGCCTGTGTTGCTGAGACTAATGATGTTGATTTAGCCATGCCTGTGGAGTCTTGTCTCCGACTATGTGAAAATGAATCTCGAACACACTGCAAAATACATACGAGTACATTGCTCTCGGAGGTTGATGACGTAAATTGAAAACAAGTAGATGCGCAGGCTGCGAACTTACAAAACAGACAGCGACGACAACGTGATAAGTTCGACGCGGAAGAAAACTGCATCTACAGGTGCTGCCATTTCGACTTTCCTGGTGCTGCCATCTGCTTGTTTTTTACTATTTTTAATTTCGTGCACAGATGACAGGACGTGGATGAAAACAAGCGACGCGCTGATGGAAACCATGAGGAAAACACATCAAGCTACGGTTAGTGAGACGGTGTCATGTACCATGGATTGTACAATACGGCTGCGGAAGACCGTCTATACGTTCAACATAACGTACGTTGAGAGAACATTGGTAGACGGGAAAGGTTGGGAGGAGAAGACCCTAAGTGACGGAACACGAAAGACGATCTACTGGAGGTGCGAAAGCCCGCTTTCAGCGTGGGATATAGTTTGGACATCCACGTCGTGTTTGTGACTGTCTGTCGTTAAACTAGAACCTCTGTTTTCTTAGAAGACACCTAGAAACAACCTAGCTAAAGCCTAGCAATAAACTGTAAGCAAGCTAGGAGCAAGCATCATTAAGCCTACCAATTACCCAGAAGACACCAAACTAGGCTCCTGACCCGTCCAGCTCCACTGTTTCAAGTCTTGCGCATCTCAATGCAAGCTTCATCATTTTTAATCAAAATTTTGTGATGTGCGGCGCCGATCACGTCGTGTGCGCGTTCATGCAGCAAACTTCGCTAGCTG